CACCCCCGGGAGGAGCAGGAGCAGGAGGAGGAGGAGGAGGAAGGCGGTCCGGGGAGGAAGCACTGCGGGAATGCGGGCGGGCCCCGGCGCCCAGCGGCTCCCGGCGCAGCCCCCGCGGGGAGCGGGGCGCCCCGTCCAACCCCCCCTTCCCCGGGCAGGGGCTGCCCGCGGCCCCGGTGGCGAAATGCCTTCCTCACCCCGCACCCCTCAGCGCTGCTATTACCCCCTCTGCACCTATTTGTACTTTGGGATGCCGGCTTGAAGGCTGGGAAGATCCCAAGCAAAACTTGGCGGGGGGCCGGGGTGGGGAAAGGGTTTAGGGACTCAAGCAGAGCAGTGCCTGGGAACATTAAATTAGAGCACATAACTATTAAAAATGCATGGGGATGGAGTATTTAAAATTCCTCCATGACATATAATATTAATCCGTTTTATGTAAAATTCATACCTGTAACTTAATTTGGTCCATTAATGCACCAGATCACGTATTAGTAGACGTACCATGTTTTAAATATGATGCTGGAAAGGTCCAGAGTTCTGTACTTGGAGGCAGAGCATTAAAATTAACAGGCGCGTACTCCAGAGTCCTGCTTAAGTCATTGTGTGGCAGGCTGCAGCCTTTTAATTTAATAAAGCCTCGCTCAAACTTTCGGTTAATGCCTTCTAAGGACCGAGTGCTGGTGCACGCCTGAATGGGACATCCGAGGAAGAAACGCAGTGCCCGGTCCTCTGGCTGCAGCGATTGCTGCCTCTGCTGCCAGCTCTCGGCCAGGGAAGTGGGGCTGCTCACATGGGCAAAGGAGTAATGGCTGCAGGATCTGCTCCGAAGCTTTTAAGTCAAACCTGGCAGAAAGGAAGAAATCCATAATGGTGATTAATAGTTGCATGTCCCCTCAATGCTTAGTCACAACGGGTGATATATAAAGGATACAGTGGGAAGCTGTCAAGCCTGGGACTTGAATGAGCGGTGAGACCGGATCATCCGAAGAGTTTAATGAAGCACACTTGGATGCTCTCGCCCCCTCTACAAACACCGAGGCTCCGTCTTACAGATACCCACACTATCATTTTCCCTATTTTGCCCTATGCCACCAGTGCCTACCAGTGCCACCAGTGGCTGTTGGGCTCCTCGAGGCACAAAAACCAAGTCCGTGTGTTAATCTTTGTCTGACTGGAGCCTAGATGTGTGCGCTACATCCTGGCAGTGCAATGGGAAGACATGTTTCCATCAGCTACAGGCTGGGTGAGCCCGATTCTGCTGCAGTCGTTGCTTTCATTCCGTGAAGCGCCACTCCCTGCACTCCCTGCGTCTCACAAGGTGGAAATTATGTGGGCCCTAAAGCGTACATTGTGGTTACACTCTGTTTGCTTCGTAGGCTCCCCATAATATGGGCAGAGTTGCTATGCTCTTCTTTTTTCCCAAAAAATATGTAAATTATGGTAAGCATGCAGACTATAATCTTGCTGATCTGTTCTTAATTAAAATCTATGTGAAACTAGATATATTGTAATATTGGATTGTTCTGTTTGCACAGAATCCCTTCTAGGAACTAATCTGATCTCACTGGAAATTTGTGGGAAACCCCAATATGTAACTGGTTCCCCTTTAGATCTCCTGAAGCCAATCTGGGCATATTATATCCATGTACCGACACACACTCTCCCGTGGACCTATAGAAAATCCACTGAGACCACACTGAGCCTCGAAGATGACTCAGTGTTTCTGGAATCCTGTGATATGCCATGATAGGCGACGGATCTGTTTTTCCATTAGGCAGCTTGTGCGGTGGAGGATACGGGGGGGGAAATCCGCGGGTTTGTGGGCATTGTTGAAGTTGTGAGGAGGTCGTATGCATTCACACAGCTAAGGTATCACAATAGAAAGACGTGGGAAAAGGGAAGGCAGCCCTCCCCTCCGACTAAGGCATAAATATTCAGGGGATTTCCTCTAGTAACTCCCTTTGATACTCATGAAGTTGATACATGCTAGCCTGACATGCTCTGGTGAACAATAGGCACCAATTCCTGTTAACAACCGGCCTGCTTTTGCTCTCCTTGAAGTCAATGGGAGTTTTGTCATTGACTTAAGTGGGAGCAGGTTGGGTCCAATGCTTTTTCAAAATTTAGATTGGATGTGCACCAGATGCTAAGTAAATTGGCCTAGAAATGGGTTGGAGCCCCCATTATACTAGCCATGGAGGCAGGTACAGCGGAACTCTTCATCCCTGAAGACACACACAAAGGGAGGGTTGGTGGCTGCTATTCGTGCTTTTGTCCTATTAACAGCAGTATTTTTTTTCAGGACATGAGTGCATATGAGGGATTAATGCCCTTGTTTCTAACCAGATCGAGCATGGAATTTAAAATAAATTCTGGATGTCTTTAAACGCGTGGTCCCTTCCTGGCTGGCTGGCTGGAGGAGTTCATCTGCCTTGGCTGGGTTTTCATGCGTCCATTCCAATACCCAGAGTAGAGATTCATTCCCTTTGTTACCAGCTCTTGCAGAATCCTCACAAGATACTTGATAGTGCTTCAATGCACTAGTTTATCTGAGAACTGATGGGTTCAGATCAGATTGTAGATACTCTATGCAGCTTGAAAAAGCTCCTTTTGATGTAGAACCAAAGAAAAACAAAGTAAAAATGAAAACAATTACTGGTCTTTCATGCCCTTTGTTGTGAGGATAATCCCATTAAACTCAATGAGGATACTCTTGTGAGTAAAGGAAACCAAATTTGGCAGCACATTTGAGTATGTGAATGTATGATTCATGGCAGCTGAAAAAATAAACCTGTCCCTTGACATCGTATCTGGTGTACAGCTCCTTAGGACCGGATAAAGTGGGTCCAGCCCTCTGGATCCACACAAGTTTTGTGCACCTTGCCATGCCATGCCATGCCATGCCATGCCATGCCATGCCATGGTAGTTCAACAGTCTAAGGACAGACAACATTTGGAGGGAACACATTTGTGCATGTAGATGGAAGCAGGCAAATGGCACACTTTCTTACAGCAAGGTTACTTGCTATACCTACCTTAAGAGGGCATGAAATGCACACAAATGCAAACAAGCACTCTACATTTTTTTCCCCTTAGGTTAAGAAACAGCAGTTGAGTCAAAAGTCCCTGTTTTGGGGCTTTGGTCCCACCGCATCAGGGCAGTGCAGTGAAATCTCAAGTACTTTTCTGCTCGAGGCTGGTAGCCAGCACGACAAGTTTCATCTGCAGGGGCACAGAGAGACGTGATGCTCAGACCCCCTCGGCCCCATTCCCGTTGACTTCAGCAAGCAACCAGGAGACTCAGAATCTCTGAGGAGCTGCTCAACACCTAGAAGGGCAGATCATTAAAAAAGCATTATAAATCTCTGAACGGTTTACGGTTTATGAGGGAAATAGCAACTGATTCCTCAATGGTGTCATTACTCTCCACTATTGCTATCATTCAAATGGCAATAATGTTGGTTATTTACCTTCAATTAAAATATCTAGTTAGTTGTGATGTCATTTAAAATAGCACTATAATGTGTTTAGTGCTCCCTCACCAAACACCACAGATAAACTCCTCTTGGCAGCCTGGGATACTGATATGAAATGAAAAATGGGGTGGGGGAGGGAGATGGAGAAACGAATATGCGGCTCTTTGGACGAGCTGTTATTCCTGCCTGCGTATTCCTGTGTGTCCCATTGGAGGCTGTGTGGCTGGCAAGGCTGTGGGTACCTTCACTGTGCTACAACGTGGGCTTTTGGAAAACCCAAAGTATCAGGAGTTGGGGGAAATGGAGAAGTGCCCTTAGCTCAGTAGATTACCGAGTGGCAGAAATCCGTCTGTTGTCTGGACTACTGCTCCTCTCCAGTGATGACTCATCAGAGCTCCTCAAAACTCTTCTTAAAGCAAAGCTTTTGCCAGTGATCAAAACCAGGTGTGTGCTTGGTGTGTGTGTGTCCTGACAGAGCAAGACCTGGAGTTATGTTTTCTAAGCAAGGTTTTCGGCTTTATACTCCTCCCTAAATAGCCCCAGTAACTTTCACTGCTGTTCTACCTATTTTCTCAAGTTCAAAATACAAATACCACTCACAGACATCACTTAATGTGCTCTTTTTCTCTCACTCCCAGATTCTGGTCATAAGAAAGCTTGAACAAACGAACCATACCCAAGTTCTTCACCTCTATGCTTTGTAGATATCTCCCCTCTTCCTCTGTGCAGGAAGCTTTTTATAAAATAAAGAAAAAACGTTTGACGAAAACCCACTATAGCTCTTTACAAATGAAAGATTTCTTTTTTCTTTTTGTGTGTTCAGGTACTTGTCTGATTTAGAGCATCCCTCTATGCCACGAGCATACTTCCACCCACCTTCATTATCATACTATGCAAGAAAACATGTAATAACAAAACCTTAATTGAATGGAGCAACAGGGAAAAAATGTCTATGGATTGATGCAAGCAATCTTTTTTTTTTTTTTACTGTAGATGTGGATACAAAGACATAAAGGAATATTTCACCTCAATTAGTGGAGGAAAGAGCAGAAAGAGACTGTAATGGGGACTAATATCTTCTTTTCCTTCCTAATGTTTTCTCATCTCCTACCTTTTCCT